CATGGTGACTTGGGGTCCAGTGTATTACTAGGCGTGCTGCCCAACTTCGCTTAGGCTTTCGAAAACATTGAGAATTTGAATGCTGAATTAATTCGCCCGAGGGTCGGTCTACGACCTCAGGAGTTATGAAGAGGTTCCTATGTGGACATTTTTTTTCGATTTATAGCTCATATAAGGCGCCGGTCAGTCGAGGTAAGTTTTGACCCCCTCATCGTAAACTTTTCGGCCAAACGGACCCCGTGTTCTGTCGCCCCAAGGCAAGATCCTGCCAAATTTGAAGCGCCTGCGGCGCCGGGAAGTGCCCTATCGGGGATACCACAACTTTGCATTATATATTATAGAGAATAGCAAATTGCATAGATAAACAAAGATTTCGATTATAAAGTAATTAAGGCCTGAAATACTTTAGTATAGAAATGTATTATTTGAATAGATTCTAGATCTAGGTAGGGTCTACATCTGTGTAAGTCTAGTTTTTCGATAGATCTTGATCTAGATAGATCTTTTATCTAGATCTAGATTCTCTAGATCTAGATGATCTAGATTATCTAGAATATCTAGATCTAGAATATCTAGATCTAGAATCCTAATAGAATTTTTTTTTGAGTTTAGTCTGAGCAAAATTGTATTGTATAAATTTTATAGCGTACGTAGATCTAAATCAAATGTGAATGAAATAGTTCATTTCTTTTTATTCTAAACACAGCAGATGACGTCATTAGTTAATGTATAAACATTAGTGACGTCACTGTTTTATGCAGTCTTTTTCACAACTATAAACGCTTTTCCTGTTGCATAATTAAAATTGTTTCTCCACATTCGAATACGCCTTTATTTTTTATTTTTCTTCTTTAAATAAAATTGTGGTTATACATTTAAGACATCTAACATATTATTTTCAACAAAAGTCCGTATAAAGGTATCCATATATCGCTGCCAATTCTGACGTGTTATCCAGCGAAAATATTTTGCGGACAGACAGAGAGAGAGAGAGAGAGAGAAGTGCGCACATGGGCTATTATATATTAGGATTTCTTTTTCTGTTTAACGGCCCAGAGGCGTAGCGACCACTTCCGGCGCCCGAGGAAAAACTTTCAATTTGGCGCCCCCCATATATTTCTATAACCCATTTTGGCGCCCCCAGGGTCGGCGCCCGGAGACATATGTACCCCCGTCGCTACCCCTCTGGTCCATGAGACAATTGAAGTAGAGTTCACCTGTTTCTACGTCCTCGACATATGAAGGAATAATGTGGTCAACAGTAAGTGAGAAAATCCAGCCGTCCTTACTTTCCCTAAGTGAGCCAGGTGTCCACCTGAGCTGGGTGAGCTCATGGACGTTCTACAGATACAAACTACAGATTTGAACTCATGTAGGGAAGGAGGGGGTGAAAAGTCACAGCAAGTTTTTGCCTCGAAGAACACACTTTTTCATTCCTTTATCAAGAAATGTATGTTTTTTAGTTGTTTACACTGCTTGGAGTTCACTGAATGTTTTGACTTTCTCAACCGGAACTGAGTTCAGAACCACATGTACTTGTTTTCATTGACAAAGTGGGAAATTCAATCTACGGAAACCTGTCGCATCTTTCATTATTTTTGCGTTTTCATGCAATGTTTGTTTTCTCAAGCAATAATAACAACAGTCTGGATTAATCGTTAGTACTTCTGAGAAACTGATTTGCAAGTGTGGATCATTTTGTATGATTACCACCTGCTGGGGTGAAATGTCACAGGCCTTGGGGTGAAAAGTCACTCTTTTTCTGGGGTGTGACTTTTCACCCCCGTCATTAAAAAAGAAGACTACTTGGTACAAAAAATTCAAAATATTTTAAATGTTTAAGAAGTCATTATATTTCCCTAGCATGTATACAGTGAATAAAATAATAATAGGCAAGTCAAGAAGTAGTAATGATTATTATAATAATTTTACTAAGTAATAATAACATTTATTGTCTAATCATAACATATGCAATCACTGAATTTTCGTGTTTAGATTGTATCTTTGAATTTAATCTAAGGCTTTTAATTTGCTTTTTTTCTTCACCAGAATCATGCCAAGACGATACCAGCACAAGACAACGCGAGGAACATTTACAAAGCATGCCAGTGAGTTGGTTTATGCTGCCCATTTTGAAGGAAAGTCGCTCCGTAAAGCTGCATCTGACTGTGGGGTTAAATAGAAGACCCTTCAACACTATGTAAAGCTGCACAATACAGACGGAAACTTTGAGAAGGCAACTTTTGGCTACAGTACGCAGATGAGCAAGAACAAGTTTTGCTGGACTAAATTCTTGAAGCCTCTTCAATCTATTATGGCCTAACTCTAAGAGAATTACGGAAACTAGCCTATGAAGTTGCTGTCGCCATCAAGATTCCCATGCCACAATCCTGGTCTTCTGCGAAAACTGCAGGAGAGGATTGGCTGAAGGCATCCAGACAACGTCATAAGGACAAGCTGCCTCTTCGAAGTCAAAAGGCAACATCACTAAAGCGCGCACAGGCAACAAAACAAACGCCGACTAGTTCTTCCCGTGTTCACAATAAAATGTGTTAAAATTAATCTTTTACGGTTTCATTTTAATCGTATGTAAATTTTGTAATAGTTACAAATCTAGTCCTCATTTATATATATATATATATATATATATATATATATATATATATATATATATATATATATATATATATATATATATTCATGATTGTTAAGGGAAATTATTTTCAATAGCAAAAAAAAAAAAATGCATTTGGGATCAAATAGATTCAACTATATAACATTTGAAAATGAGTGATTTTTTGACCCCGCACATGGGGTAAAATGTCACAATTCAAAATCACCACTTAGCAAGTATGTCATGGGCATACCGTGACCAGCTATTCCAAACGGTTCTGGATACAGTTATCTGAAGTGTAGAACTCGTATTTGGTGCATCAGCATTATTAAAGGTTCACAATTCTTGTTCCTAGATACTAAATAAACCGGGAGTGATCTCCACTAAACTTTCTCGAATATTCTTATATAATTTGGAATGTAGACATGATTTTTTATTATTTAAACTTTTAAAAATAGAATAGAATCTCATAGTAAGGAATTGCGCACCAAGCGAGCGCCAAAACAAAATGTGCATAATAGTGCGCAATATTATTAGTACTTTATAAATTTACATGCGTTTTTTTTGAGAAATCGGAAATAGCGTAAATTAGTACTTCCGGTCAACGGAAATTACTCAAAATTTGAAAGAAGGTAGAGAATTAGATCTTTTACATACATGTGAAATTTCATTTATCTATTTGAAATAGTACTCAAGTTATAGGCTTTTGAAAAATTCAAAGTAGAAAAAGTACCACTTCCAGTAATCGGAAATCGCTCAAAAGTTGATACGGATCTACGATTTTGATAAAATACTTATATATGAAATTTCATCAACCTAGCTGTAACGGTACTCAAGTAATCGTGTTTACACACAAACAGACAGTCGGACAGACAGATACTGACATACGGACAAGATTGCAAAATTATGTTTTTCCGTATCAGTGAGGTGTAAAACGTCGAGATTTGTAAAAATCTCTATTTTTTATTTTTGCACGATTACAATACTTTTTCTATACTTCGTATATACGAGAAAATAAAAAGTGAAATTTGTGACTTTTCACCCCCTCCTCCCCTACTTTAGGGTAGGTAGCCGTATGCTCTACCGTTCGCCAACCCGTCCCATTCTTTTCTGCCATAATCTACCATCACTTGTTATGTGAAATTAATATTTATTTTTACAATAATTACTTAAAACGAAAAAAAAATGGGTTGTGTTTTGTGTATTTCTTTTTTGTCCTCATAAGTGTAGCCTACTACATTCTCAATTTTACACAACAGCTGACACGCGAAGTTTGTATGATAAAACCTAGAACTCGTGGTTTTTTATGGGTCGTACAAAATAAATTCATGCAGAACAGTGGGGAAAATAAAGCCTATCTATAAGCAGCATTTCATTAAACCATTGATTGAATTCAGGTAGGCCTATACATTTCCTTTCAGATTAATATTTAATTATATATGCTCATCCTTCACTAACAAAATTGTTCTGACTTAAAGAAAATAATTTATCACTACATGGAGTCCCTTTTTGAGAATTTCTTAATGACTTTTAGAGTTTGACCAGAATGACTAAATTTTAAATGATTAAATTCAATATGTAGGCTTGTGTTGGGCTACTTTGTTGTATTGGTATCACTTTAAAATCCTCTCTCAACTGATGGAAAATAATGAACAAGTTATAGTAAGGCACTGTGTGGCAGGATGGATTTGCATGACTGTCAGTGTCAAGTGGAGTGGATTTTCCGGATTTGGATCCATAGGGTACACAATTTTAATTAGGGAATCATATGAATTTCATAACACCAATATTTTTGGCTTTTAGTTGTGAAGGTTTATTGTTACTTTTTAAAAATCAAATTTCTTTATTAAGCTACTGGATAAGCACAAGTGTAATTTATTTCCTTTAGTTTTGCAACACGCATAGGCCTAATTACCAAAAAGAAACAGATTTTTGTCAGCAATACTAATAAATATAAATTTGTATGTGATTTTGGCAAGTAAGATCATATTAAAAAAAATTTAATCAAAAAAAGTATTCAAAGTATAACATTCTTTAATTGATGCACTCAAGTTTAATTTTTATCATAATTTGAAATGTATTCTTTAATTTTAAATATAACTAAAAATGTACATAAACAATGTGAAAATACATTAATTATTGGGATACCATTTATATAATTTGAAGCATTCAGCATATGTACTAAGAATGTTAATAAAATGATAAAATAAATGTGTTGAGTCAAAGACATCATAGCCAATAAATTATCTAAACTTTACATATTATAATAAGGCAATTAATGGTAGAACTTGTATAAATATAAAAAAATAATTACCTATTATTAACCTCTATAATTAAACTATTACTGTACTTAATGAAGAATAATTTTTCAAGAACATTGAAGGAACTGATTTGACTACAGAGTGACATGACAAAAAAATTAAAAAGTATCTATACACAAACTATTTTGTAATAAGCAGTAGATTAAATCTACTTATGTAGAACTAGTAATATTAATTAAATTAACAAATGTAGCAAATTTAAAATAAAAAATATTTTTACAATACAATTAGATAACAACAAAGATATAAGGAAATAAGCAAGTGAAACAAATCGTTACAAATTTGGTGGAAAACAAGCCATTAGGTACCAAATTTTATTTGCATAGCACCTTAGAAAGGTTTAACAATTTTCTTTACATCAACTAGTTCTTTTCCCATCTCTAGTGTTTAACATATGATTTAGTTAACAAGTATGTTTACCACTGTATTTTTTATGCTAACTATACAGCTCCTTTTCTGAACAATTGAATTATGAGGTATTCACTTGTGTATATTACAAACATAACTCATCCATATTTTAATGTTTTTCTATAAATAGGACTAAACTGAACCTGTGTAAATTTCTGAGTAGCTTTAAAAAATACTTTACTATAACACTTTAAAACATTGATTCTTTTTCTTTCCTATCAGAACTATTGATGAATGTTGAAATGTTTATCTGTTATTATTATATATTAGAAAATGCAATTTTTTATGTCTTAAATTACAAAATGGAAACATAAGGAAATATGAAAACAAAATCAAATGAGAATGAACAGACATTTAAGCTATATTCATATCATAAAAGGTTAATTTATTTTTGATATCGATCGTGAACTGTATTTCTGTTTCTTGTTGCCTCACCACAAAGGTGCTAGTTGTATAAATATAGATACCCTGAATTTATACCTGCTAGGCTGTAATTTTTAACCACAGCTCTACTGTTTAATATTTAATATGCAGGTTAAGGGCTAAGCATTTATTGTAACACATAGGTATTTTAGTATAAAAAATTTAATGTGTGGTTGTCCACACGGACAGGAAGCCTAAGTTGAGAAGAGCCAGATGTTGCCCATGTATCAGGCCCCCTCTCTTCCCACAGCCAATGTACCCAAGGGACAGGACAATGAGCATCTAATAATTAACAACATGCACAGACTGAATTACACATGAAGAAAAAGTTGTAATAAAGTAATATAATTTACTGATTAAACTGTTTGAAAAATTACAACACCTACAGACTTCTTAATGTTTAAATGTGTATGTTTATGCTTCAAAAACAATTAAAAACAACACAATTTGAGCACATCATATTTTTATGACTCAAAGATCAGTTTTTGCAAATACAAAAGCTATTCAAATTCAAGCTTCTCAATATTTTAATGATTATATTTAAAAATTATTTTCCAAAAAAGTATATGTGGGCACACATTTAAAAGGCTTTTTTGCCTTAACAAATTAAGTAAAAGTTTACGTAATAAAATATAGGCTAACAGAAAAAATGCAATGTCTTCAACATACAGTGCATTAGATTATGTTCAGTTACATCTTTTCAAGGGTAATTGTTTTCATATTTGGATCATCATTTAATTGCTTTACATTTTTGTGAGTAAGTTTATGAACCTTCAACCGATAATTGAAAAAAAACTGTTTTAAGCATATTTCACATTTAAACCTTTTTTCTTCATGAATATGCTTATGTTGAGATAAAGTGCTTTTATTAAAGAATGCTTTAAAACAAATGTTACACTCAAAGCTTCTCTCACCTGTGTGAACCATTTTATGTTCTGTTAACTGTATTTTTCTGGCAAACATTTTGTGACACACATCACACTCGAAACATTTTTTTGCATGAATTGTTTCATGTGAAATTGATTGCTTTTTCAATTCAAATTGCTTGTTACCCTTATCACTGCTTACAGTCTTGTGAGTAAGTTTATGGGCCTTCAACCGATAATTGAAAAAAAATTGTTTTAAGCATATGTCACATTTAAACTTTTTTACTCCAGTATGAATGAGAATATGCTTTCTTAAAATATTTTTTTTAAAAAAGCTTTTGAGACAAATATCACATTTAAATCTTTTCTCACCTGTGTGAATCACCTTATGGTTTAACAACTGTGCTTCTGTAGTAAATTTGTAATGACACAAATCACAATCAAATTCCCTCATTTCATGCACATTTTTATGTCTTATCAACTGCTCATTCCATTTAAACTTCTTGTCACATTTATCACATTTATAATATTTGGAACACTTTTTTATATCTTCATCACAATTAAGAGGCATATTTTCTAATTGAGCTTCATAATTGTTTATTAAATGACCTGCAGGATTTTTCAGGCTCAGGTTACTACCTAATTGCTTAAGTGATTCGTGAGTACATTTGTGGAGCTTTAAGTTATTATTATAATGAAACTTTTTAAAACATATTTGACATTGAAATCTTTTTTCTTCATGAATTTGCTTATGACTATATAAATTGCTTTTATTAAAGAATGTTTTAAAACAAATGTTACACTTAAAGCTTCTCTCACCTGTGTGAATCATTTTATGTAGTGTCAACTGAAATTTTCTGGCAAACATTTTGTGACAAACATTACACTCAAAATTTTTATTTCCGTGAATTGTTTTATGTGAAATCAATTGCTTTTTCAATTCAAATTGCTTGTCACACTTATCACATTTATAATTTTTTACACCTTTTAAATGAATACGTTTATGCACAGATAAATGTTCAATATCAAAAAATTTTCTAAGACAAACATCACATTCGAATTCTCTTTTTCCACTATGGACCAATTTGTGATAATTTAGAGCAGATTCCAGGTAAAATTTCTTGGGACACAAATCACATTCAAATATTTTCTCCATTTTTTTAAAATGTCTATTCTTATGTGAGTTTAAAGATGTGATTTTGCTAAAAGTTCTTTGGCATATATCACATGAATAAAGTTTATCAAGTTCAATGCATGCATTACTCTGCTTATGCTTTTCTAAAAATGCCTCAGTTCTAAACTTTTTATGGCATACATCACACACAAATTTAACATGACATTGTTTGTGTTTTTTTAAAGATTTTTGAAGTTTAAACTTTTTATGACACAAATTGCATTCAAACCTTTCACCATTCATATGAACCCTCTTATGACTAAGTACACCACCATATTGAGCAAATTTTTTAAAACATACATCACACTCATACAATTTTTCTCCTGAATGTATTCGCAAATGATCTTTTAAGGATTTGTGTTCATAAAATCTTTTACGACACAAATCACACTCATATTTTTTTACCCCTGTGTGTGTTAGTTTATGTATATACAACCCACTGTGTGTACCATATGTTTTTGTACACAAATCACACTTGAAAGTTTTCTCTCCTGTGTGTGAATTGGTGTGACACCTCAAGTTAGTTTTGCTTTTGCAATTTTTCCCACACAGTTGACATATGTATTGGCCCAATGAATGATGGACACGTTTATGTTTTTTTAGATCTTTTTGTTCAGGAAAAATTTTAAAGCATACACGACACTCAAAACTCTTTTTAGTATGAATCATTTTATGTTTAGTTAAAAAAGTTGCAGTAACAAAATTTTTATGACATACATCACACTCAAATTTCAAGCATGATGTATGAAAGTTTTTATGCCTTCTCAAGTGATTTAAATTATTACATTTTTTAAAACAAACATCACATTCAAAAGCCTCACCTTTGTTGTTATGACTTCGTTGATGCATTTGTAAATTGAATTTGAAATAATAATGCTTTCCACAAATCTCACACATAAGTTCCTTTTTTCCTGAATGGAATACCATATGTTTGGCTAATATATTTTTTGTAAAATATCTTTTAAGACACACATTACACTCAAATTTCCTCTCCTTTAAGTGAATGATATTGGGTGTATCTAACTCTTTTTTGTCAGATAGTGTTTCAAGATGTTTACTAGGTTTTAACTTTTCCCCATCTACATGAGTTACTTTATGTTGAGCTAAACCTGTCTGTGTTAAGTATTTTTTTAAACACACTTCACACTCATAAATATTCTTCCTTAGATGAAGTAGCCGGTGATTGTCAAACTTGAGCTTGCTGGAGAATGTTTCAAGACATGTTTCACATTTTAATATTTTCTCATCAACATGAATTAATTTATGTTTAGCTAAACTTGCTTGGGAAAAACATTTTTGAAGACACACCTCACACTCGTAAATATTTTTCCTTAGGTGATCTAGCCTGTGTTCATCCAGCTTGCTCTGGCTAGAAAATGTTTCAAGACATAATTCACATCTTATCGTTTTCTCGTATTTATGAATTACTTGATGTTTAGTTAAACCAGTTTGAGAACAACATTTTTTAAGACACACTTCACACTCATAGATCCTTTTATCTTTGTTTACTAGCTTGTGTTCTTTTAACATCTGCATGGTGGAAAATATTTCAAGACATTCATCACATTTTTGCAGTAATTCTCTTTGACTTGTTTTATGTACAATTAAGTAATTTTGGCTAATGCCACACTCTAATACCTTTTCTTGTTTGTCATTTATTTTACCTATTTTTACGCGGTCATTGTTCTCTTTACTATGATCAAGTTTATGGTAAATTAAACCACTTTGCTGAGTAAATGACTTGTGACACACATTACAAACATAAAACTTTTTCCCTGCAAGAGTTTGATTTTGAGGTGCAATGATAGCTGTTATTCCCTGATTTTGTGATGATTTATCAACCATATTTTTACGTATACACTTCAGTCCTAATGAGACATCTTGGATAACTTCTTTTATGGTCATATTCTGCATAGCAGTGGAAGGTGCTTTATTGGATAAATTATCTCGTTTGCCCTGCTCTGTTCCACAGATTTCCTTATTGGTGCAATCACTATGTGAATCATGACATACATTAAGTCTTTTTTCTGTATCATGTTTTTCGTGTGCAATATTTGCTGCTTCTGTAGGTGCCCCCTCAGAAACGTTAGGTAGATTTACTGCGAAAGAGTCTGTTTGTTTAACAATTGATGTATCATTTTTTAAGTGTGGTTCATCATGAGGAGAAATGTGATATATATGACTATCAGATGATGCATTATCAACACAGCTTCTATTATGCTCCAGTGAGTTTTCCAGAAATTCAGATTTTATAGCCAACAAATCTACCACACTAGTCATTCCATCATTAGAAATATAGGGTTTAATATCTTTTGTTATTGTACAATTTTCCACTGTGCAATCAAGATGTGAATCAGCAGCCAGGCTAGATCTGATGCCTGCTTGAAATACAGATGAATGATCACTAACAAGTTCATCATGAGTATACTTTAGTTCTAGATCATTCTTATCCTCATCTTTAATATCAAGTACAGTCTCAAAAGAATACCTTTCCGATGAAAAAATCATCTGATCATTTAAACAACTGTTTTGAGTGTCATCAGCTGTTGAGCCTTCAAAAAATGAGATGATTTCTCCAGTTTCTGAATTGTGTACCAAATAGTAGGGTTTGATGTCTTCATTTGGCTCATCTTTTACTGAGCATTGGTTCAATACAGTATTTTCTTTCCCATTTTTTGGTTGATCCATGTTTTAAAACTGTTTACGCAGACTATCTAGCTGGAAAAAATTAATAAAATAAAGTTAAATGAGGATACAATAAAAATCCATCAAAAATATTTACATTTTTAAAAGCAACTAGACTACTCATTATCCTTGGATAACTTTGGGTTTCTGATGTCATACATAAAAGACATCAAGTTTGACGATTTTTATCTTTCCTCTCACACTATCACACAAAAAACCAGACCCCACATTAAAAAATATGTTACACCTCAGACATGTTGTTGTCTTTTAAAATCACTGATTTCACCTGAGCATAGGTCTGACCCTTCATATGTTGAGGTCACACAAACAGATAAACCTGCATAATATCCCACAAAGTGCAAAAGGCAATATTATCATTTGCATCTAAAAAAAAGAACTCACACCTCAGCTTACATGTTTTTCTCTAAAAACATTGTTTTCTTTCTATAATATTTTCTAAGCTCAAACCTCATTTGAATAATAGATGAATAAATTATTAAGCTAATGTCAAACTAATAATAACGAATTAAAACCAATCAAGTGTATTGTGATTTCCCATTGTGCATTGTCTATGAGGATAATCAAAACAAAAACACTAACACCAAAATGATTTGTTTCGAACCCATGCCACCTACATGTTCACTATTACACTCTCTTCTCGGTCAGCTAGGCACATAATACTGAGCAAAAATCGAGAGACTACTCTTCATCATAAAGTAAAATTATGTGAATATTATTTTAAATTAAATTATATCCTAATTTAGCCAATTTCATTGCTAAAAACACAAAGATTTATATAAGATATTTAACACCTGTGGGCATAGTGCTGACCACACTATCTCTTCATATGCCGAGGTCACAGAAACAAGTGAACTCTACTTCACTTGCCCTATAGACCTTCAGGTTTGAAAAGGGAACTTTTTAAGACCTGTAAGGAGTCATCCATAAATGCCGATTTTTTTTGACGATTTTTACCCCCCCTCCCTCCGTCACACATCGTCACAAATAGCCAGACCCCACCCCCCTAAAATGACGTCACATCTCACTCTACAACCCCCCTCAAAAATTTTTTTAAACATCAATATTTTTCCAAAATTTTGTCTGAACTTTGTCAAAATAGAGTATTTTAATAAATTCCTATTACAATTTATTAAAACACTTTTCTAAAACGCGATATAACATCTAAAATTTGTTTTCGAACATTGCTTATTTATAATGCAAAAGTGTGACGTCGCACCATCTGAACCCCCCTCCCTCCCCTTCATCACACACCATCACAAAATTAGCGCTGTTTTCATCAGATGCAACCAGGCTTGTTTACTTTAGAAGCCATCTTGCGTATATCTTTTTGGGTTAAATTATCGTTAGACCGTCAGGTTTGAAAAGGGAACTTTTTAAGACCTGTAAGGAGTCATCCATAAATGCCGATTTCTTTTTTGACGATTTTTACCCCCCTTCCCCCTCCCTCCGTCACACATCGTCACAAATAGCCAGACCCCACCCCTCTAAAATGACGTCAGATCTCACCCTACAACACCCCTCAAAATTGCAATTGAATTTTTTTTAAACATCAATATTTTTCCAAAATTTTATCTGAACTTTGTCAAAATAGAGTTTTTTAATAAATTCCTATTACAATTTATTAAAACACTTTTCTAAAACGTGATGTAACATCTAAAATTCGTTTTCTAACATTGCTTATTTATGATGCAAAAGTGTGACGTCGCACCATCTGAACCCCCTCCCTCCCCTTCATCACGCTCCGTCACAAAATTAGCGCTGTTTTCATCAGATGCAACCAGGCTTGTTTACTTTAGAAGCCATCTTGCGTTTATCTTTTTGGGTTAAATTATCGTTAGGGATTCAGGTAAATTCACTCTAATTTACAGATTGCCATTTATATAAATAGCAAATCTTCCTCTCAAACACTGCAGTTTAAAGTTAATTTAGACTTTAGACATTTAGGGCCTATTGCTTTTGGTTTATTATCCAATCATCTATTATATCTAGAATCTATATTTGACACAAATATATCACAATATTTTGAATATAGGCCTACTTGTATTAAGACCATATAAATCAGCCATCTATCTTTCACATTACTAGTCTCAGACGATTTTCATTTTACGTACCTAAAACGATAGATTACCGACTTTATAGTAATACTAATTTGCAATCACACTGGCCTTACTGGTCAAGGATTTCGATATAGATTATAGATCTAATTCTTACTTCTGATACTGATAATTTCATACTATAAAATTATCAGTATCAGTATCTCTATAATATAAATATAGAGTCACGAGAGTGTAGTTGCAAAGCACTTCATAGAAAATCTTTTGGCTAATCCTGTCCCATTTTGTAAATTGAACACACAGGGCTATTTAAATTTATTTGGTTAATTTTTATCGTGCTATTCGCGGTAAAACTCCATTTAGCGTATTTTATTCTCCGTTGCTTGTTTACCTCCAGTTGAGCGTATTTTATTATAACAACCGAAACATACCAAAACATTAGGAAAACATGATTTATTTTTTGTATTGTATTTTTGTTTTAGCAAATGAATAAAAACGAATATTTTAAAAAACACGACTTGTTTATTTGTATTGTACTTTTTTTTAAAGGCATTTGTCTCATGGTGAAACTTATAGACTGTTAATTATTCTGTATTATATTTTTGTATTTATGCAATAAATGTCTAAACTCTGTGTTTTTTAATTTGACAATTTTGCCAACACTGAAAAAAATATTTTATACTATAGAGTTGTATGTTATTTAAATTCATAGTAAATCTACCATTCTTCCCAATATTTTGATATATATATATCAAGTATGATTTTTTTGTATGAGTAAATTTCTGACTTTAAAAGAAAAATGTGCGGGTCGTCCATAAATGACGTTACACTCGTAAGGGAGAGGGGGGTCCGCAATTTTGTGACGGTGTGTGATAAGGGGGAGGGGGTGGGGTTTCAGACGGTGAGAGGTCACTTTTTTGCATTATAAAAAAGCAATGTTAGAAAAACGAGTTTTAGCCGTTATTTCGCGCTTTAGAAAACGGTTTTAATAAATTGTAATAGGAATGAATCAAAATACTCTATGTTGACAGAGTTCTTACAAGATTTTGGAAAAAATATCGATGTTTTAAGAAAAATTCAACAGAAATTTTGAGGGGTGGGGGGTTGTAGTCGGAGGTGTGACGTCATTTTAGGGGGGGGTCTGACTTTTTGTGACGACGTGTAACGGAGGGGAGAGGGGAGGTAAAAATCGTAAAAAAAAGCGTGTCGTCACAAAAAGCAGGACCACCCCCCCCCCCCCAAAAAAAAATAATGACGTAGCACCACCTGAACCCCATTCCCCTCATCACACACCGTCACAAAATTACGGACCCCCCCCACCCTACGAGTGTGACGTCATTTATGGACGACCTCTAACATTATTTTTTTTAAATGACAACATGAGTTGTCACACTTTCTCTAACACTCCATGCCATCCCTCGCCAACTTCCACCCCCCCCCCCGGCGCACTTTCGGCAGCATTATTATGCCTTTTAATACTTTTATTCAGTTTAGTTGAAATTTGAACACTTATTTATATAAAGTGGGCATCTCTATTTTTGTAACCAACAAACAAAGCATTTTAGTCAGTCTCTTTGTTGTTTTTATTCATTTGTTAAAACAAAAATACAATACAAATAAATAAGTCGTGTTTTTAAACATTCATTTGTGAAAACAAAAATACAATACAAATAAATAAATCGAGTTTTTCTAATGTTTTGGTGTGTTTCGGTATTATTATAATAAAATACGCTCAACTGGAGGTGAACGACAAGCGGAGAATAAAATACGCTAAAATGGAGTTTTACCCAATTCGCTACCTGTATCTACTAGTATCTAGGTTAATCTACTAACTACTTACACTACTTACCTACTTCATAGTACTTCCACTTGAAATATTGAATCGTATGGCAGGTAAGATTAAGAAGAATAATACTACAATATATGGATCTAAAGGCCTACTAATTAGGCTAGGCCTAATTAAAATTATATAAGAAAAACTTGAGAAGTAGCTTAGTACTAGAAGAGTGTAACAGACAACAGTTAAGAATTAAATAATTATTTTGACTGGCTTCAATCCAATATCAATAAGCCAACATAAAGTCGGTGTAAGCACCAAGTTCTTAAAAGCACCGCAATATTCAATATAGAAATATAGATTATAGACTGACCACGCGAAAACGAAATTCGCGCCAGTTTGTTTGGCAAATGACCACATCACCACCATTTCACGTTAAATCAAAAAACCCACAGTAGCCTAATAATCTAAATATATAATCTAGCCTAGGCCTGTTTAACTAGTTTAAAGTTAAAGCATAGGCCTTAGTTTAGCGTCGGAAATTATTGGGTAATGTTTGTTGAGTTTCGGTAACTAGAGTTACGGTAAACCATGGTTTATTTGACCTTTGAAATTTTTTTTAAGTTTAATAGTCAAAAGGAAACAGGAATAAATATAATAGTAGATTTCAATTAGTAGATCTAAAAATTAATATATATATATATATATATATATATATATATATATATAATAAAGTCAAAAGTAATAATTTGTTTCATGTTTTTGTCTTGCAGCGGATTTGCAACCATTAATTAATTAGATCTAGATCTAACTAGCTGCTAAGACAAGTTAAAAAAATAGTTTAAAAAAAATTAGTAAAAATGATTTTAATAAATAGTAGAAGTGACTAGAAACAGGGTTCGTAACCTATTTTAAAAATGAAACCAGACGTTTGACCACATCATTATTTATATAGTCGAGAAACTTTGTCAGCAATTAAAAACTATCGGTATCCCCCCCCTCCCCCCCCCCCCCCCACACACAAACACAACGAGAGGAGGTGGAGGGGTCACTGTGAGGTCACAAGAGCCCAGTCTAATACGTCATAGTATGAACTGCATGTATCGTAACTTTTATTCCCCCTCCCCCCAGCCAAACAGCACCAACTACGTACGGGCTTGGGGTCACAGTGAGTTCATCCAAGTTAGATATCAGTGACCTTAGTTACTAGGAGGGGTGGGTTAGTCTACCCCTAATCGTCAGCTCAAATATTTCAAAAACAGTTTGGAGAGTGAATTGAAAATACAGGTGGTTAAATTATACCTAGATTACCACAGCTTCCCTCAAAATTGTTTTATAAGACTACCTGCCTGTAGCCTCAGACAAACTTAAGAAACAATAGCAGGTACAAAAATAAGAGGTCAAGATTTGTATAGCCGATCATTCTTTTATTACATAACAATTTTAAATACTTGTAACACATTTACACGGTCAGCCAACACACAACAAAAACAAAAAAGACAGGTCTATCTAACACTCCCCCCCCCCATCCCCCCCCCCCCAGTGACGTAGTAACTGAGAAATCTGGTTTCTTCTGCGATCCAGCAAAAAACGTCATAATACCTAGACCAGACCAGACTCTGAAATACACTTTTCTACATTCAAGACTTTTTCCAGACTGCGTACGAACCCTGTTAAACAATGTTTAGTAGCAGAAATATTTATCTGAAACACTTTAAAATAACTAGTTATACAAAATGATTAGTAAAGCAGTATTTAACACGCAATTAAAATAAATCTAACCAAATGTTAAACGTTCTGTATTTAAAAATAAAAGATCACGCCAAATAAAGTATGGTTTACAGTACTTCCGGTGGATTCCGGAACTGTATGTCAGACTTTGCCATTGTTTTGCTGTTTTTTCTCCATTTTTAGCGTATTTTATTCCCCGCTTGTCGTTTACCTCCAGTTGAGCGTATTTTATTATAATAACCGAAACACACCAAAACAGTAGGAAAACACGATTTATTTATTTGTATTGTATTTTCGTTTTCACAAATGAATAAAAATGAATATTTAAAAAAACACTACTTGGTTTTTACTTTCTCGTATATACGAAGTATAGAGAAAGTCTTGTAATCGTGCAAAAAAAAAAAAAAAAAATCTAGATTTTTACAAATCTCGACGTTTTACACCTCACCGATACGGAAAAACATAATTTTGCAATCTTGTCCGTATGTCTGTGTGTCTGTCTGTCTGTGTGTGTGTGTGTGTGTCCGTGTGTAAACAAGATAACTTGAGTACCGTTACAGCTAAATTGATGAAATTTCATATATAAGTATTTTATCAAAATCGTAGATCCGTATCAACTTTTGAGCGATTTCCGATAACTGGAAGTGGTACTTTTTCTACTTTGAATTTTTCAAAAGCCTATAACTTGAGTACTATTTCAGATAGATAAATGAAAGTTCACATGTAAGTAAAAGATCTAATTCTCTACCTTCTGTTAAATTTTGAGTAATTTCCGTTGACCGAAAGTAGTAATTTACGCTACTTCCGATTTCTCAAAAAACTAATGTAAATTTTTAAAGTACTAATAATATTGTGCACTATTATGCACTTTTTTTATTTGGCGTTCACTTAATGTGCAATTAATTTGTCTACGAGATTTTATTCTATTTTTAAAACTTTAAGTATTTAAAATGGATTAAAAATCATGCCTATAGCCCGAGTTCACATCCCCTGTTATTTTATATAACAATATTCGAGAAAGTTTAGGGGAGATCACTCCCGGTTTATTTTTGTATTGTATTGTTTTTAAAGGCATTTGTCTCGTAGTGAAACTGATACACTGTTAATTATTCTGTATTATATTTTTGTATTTATGCTATAAATGTGCAAACTCTGTGTTTTATATTTGACAGTTTTGACAAAACTGAAAATAAATATTTTTACTATAGAGTTGTGTGTTATTTAAATTCATAGTAAATCTACCATCCTTCCCAATATTTTGATATATGTATCAAGTATGATTTTTTGTATGAGTAAATTTCTGACTTTAAAAAATTGGGTGTGGGGGTCGTCCATAAATGACGTCACACTCGTAGGGGGAGGGGGCAGAGGCGTAGCGACCCTTCCCGGCGCCCGGGGACAAACTTTCAATTTGGCGCCCCCCTCTGGAGCAAATTTTCAATTTGCACCCCCCTCAACTTTTCGATTTGCACTCCCCCTCAACTTTTCGATTTGCAACCCCCCCCCCCCCCCCTCAAACTGCAAAATGCAGCTAAAATGACATTTTAATTTGTTTCTACAGCCCATTTTTGGCGACCCCTAGGGTTGGCGCCCCGGGACATATGTCCCATCCATCGCTACGCAATTTGTGACGTTCGTGTGTGATGAGGGGGAGGGGGTTCAGATGGTCTGGAAAAATGTTGGAAAAAAGCAATGTTGATTATTTCGCGTTTTAGAAAACAGTTGTAATAAATTGTAATAGGAATTGATCAAAATACTCTGTTGACAGAGTTCTGATAAGATTTTGGAAAAATATCGATGTTTTAAGAAAAATTCAAAAGTAATTTTAAGGGGGGGGGGGTGTAGGCTGAGGTGTGACGTCATTTGGGGGGGGGGGGGGGTCTGGCTTTTTGTGACGACGTGTGACGGAGAGGAGGGGGGAGGTAAAAATCGTTTTAAAAAAGCGTGACGTCATTTATGGATAACCACTTTAATAAATTTGTAAATTTGTATTATTTAGCTGTTCGTTTTACTATTTAAATTCATGCATCACAATTGCATTTTTATTACAATATTAATTATATTAGTCTATTTCTGTACAGCCTTAAAAACGCGAAATAACGTATGAAATTTAGTCTCTAACATTATTTTTTAAAATGGAAACGTGAGCTGTCACAATTTCTCTAACACTCCATGCCATCCCTCACCAAATTTCAACCCCACCCCCCCCCCCCCCCACCCCCACCCACTTTCGGCAGCATTATTCTGCCTTTTAATACATTTATTCAGTTTAGTTAAATTGGAACACTTATTTTTACGAAGTGTGCATCTCTATTTTTGTAATCAACAAACAAAAATACAATACAAATAAATAAATAAATCGTGTTTTCCTAATGTTTTGGTGTCTTTCGGTTATTATAATAAAATACGCTCAACTGGAGTTGAACGACAAGCGGAGAATAAACACACTCACACAACGATTCCTGTTTTTTATCGTCTTCCGGGTACTAGAGATCTAGATCTAGAATCTAACTACAAGCTTCAGTTTATTTAGGCCATACTGTTAGTAGGTAGGTCGCTTAGTAATCAATTCGGTAATCTATCGTTTTAGGTACGTAAAATCGCCCGCGACTAGTAATGTGAAAAACAGGTGACGGTAATCCCTTAGTTTAGCGTCGGTTATTATTCCGGAATCGTATAGCAGTAAAAAACAGTAAAACAATGCCAAAGTCTGTCACACACTTCCGGAATTCACCGGAAGTACCGTAAACCATACTTTATTTGGCGTCTTCTTTTATTTTTATACAGAATGTTTAAAATTTGGATAGATTTATTTTTGTAATCATTTTTACATTTTGTAATCATTTTTACTATTTTCGTAATCTAGATTTTTTTACTTGGCCTAGCAGCTAGATATCTATCTAGATCTAATTAATTAATGGTCGCAAATCCGCTGCAAGCCAAAAACATTAAATTATTACATTTGATACATTATTTATATTTATATTAATATATGTTTTTATTTTTAGATCTACTAATTTAAATCTACTATTATATTTATTCTTGTTTCCTTTTGTCGATTAAACTTAAAAAAATAAAACATTAATTTACTACAATCGACTTTCAATTTATTATTATTTCAATGGTCAAATAAACCATGGTTTACCGTAACTCTAATTACCGAAACTCAACAAACATTACCCGATAATTTCCGACGCTAAACTAAGGGATTACCCAGGTGACTCCTTTAATTTTAATGATTATTTCACATTTTGAGAAGGATTTATGTTTTGACAATTTGATAAATACAAAAATGTTTCCTTGGTCCTTGTTTCATTTAATACACCAGCGAGATTGGGCTAGATCTAGTTGGCCTAATTTGCAGTGGAGTTAACTAATGAATACACATTTCTTGCATTTGGCCATTTATGACATATTTTACATAGGCCTAATGGACGCGAGTGAGTTGAGGAGAATCCTTCCATAGGCTAATGATATTATTAATGTCGTTGACATGGAATAAAAACAGGCTATTCTTAGTCGTGACTGTTTTTTATATAATTATTGTTAAAAATACCCAACTGGGCATGTAGATGAGTAGTCGAGCGGTCATAGGGAGTGGCTGTCGTGTCAGAAGGTGCGGGTTCAAATCCATCAGATGACATATTGCTATGATTCTCAATGTATGCCTTTAAAATATTTTTTCACAGTTAACTTGAGTTACTCATGGAAGGGTTATTTTTTAAATTTTTTTTTTCTTTTGTGACGTAGATTCTAATTGTTGGCAAATCAGAAAATAAATAATAAGACCTGTCCCATAGATTTTTGCTAAGAAAAAAAACACAAAAGTGTGATGGAAACTGTGAATAACGCACAGCTGATGAGAAAGGACATCCTATTTCACCTGATATTTATTCTATGTGATATTGTGAATTTTTAATGGTAATTGATAGTTGAATAGGAATGTGAACAACCAACTAAACTGATGCTTAATTAGTAGGGTGAAGGAGGGCGTTAAGAGCCGTGTGGTATTAAGCCCCAATCAACACCCCACCCCCACAAAACCCCCAATAACACTGCTAATCTACTTCTGAGGTAACAACCACTGCTGTTCTTTGATAACAGAGAAGCAGAGGATTCATTTTATGTAATTTATGACTCACTTGGTCCAATACGGAGAGGATGAGACAGGATTTAATCCCACTGCTCTTTCCCTAAAATTTCTCATCTCCATAAAACCATTTTGTGAACTTTTTTTTCAAATAGACATAACTTGGGAAACTTCACTTTGTAATAAACCAAATGAGTTTTTCAAGCCCATTCTTTGTTCCTGTATTAGAGCATTGGTTGTTGTACATTTTAACACTATTGTTATAGCTATGGCTAGAATAGTTTTATTTTGGTGAATTTTTTTTGCACAGTGATTATTGGTGCCAAAACAAAATGGCCAATAATTGAATAGTAGTTTTTCAATGGGACGAAAATAAAAATAAACGCATCGGCCGTCGTCCGACTGAATCGCACTGCCGTGATCTACACATCGTGTTGCACAGCCGAGTGTGTTGTCGCGTGACGCTAGGCGATTAACCCGATTGGATGATACTATAAACAATTTCTAAAGATAGATAGGCCTACATGTGTTCCCGTGTTTGACTTGTCGGCTATTGGATTTTTAAAATAGACAGGCATGTTTCATAACTTTGTCTTAAACTTAAACTATTGAAACAGCAAAAAAAAAGTTGTAGTAGTATTTACGGCTCAGGACTAATCGTCAAAATTAATCTTCTTTAGAAATTAACCTGGATAGCTGCGACCCGATCAAACAATGCTGATTCGCGGAAACGTTTCATTATTTTATTTTATACATTAATTTTTCGTAAAAATGGCTATAGAAAATAAATTAAATTTTTCCAGTGGCTCTTTTTTTCGGTTGACTGAAAATTGTTAATACGCTTAATACTAGCCCGCCCCCCCCCCCCTCCTCGCTACGCTACTGCAGTGTCACTTATCGTCACAAAAAAACAGACCCCACATTCAAAAATATGTTTTTTATCTTTTAAAAACATAGAAAACAACGATTTCGGACTATCCCTTCATATACTGATGTCACAGGTGACCTACTCAACTCTACTTCACCTGCCCAGTGTCCCGCCAAGTCTCAGACAACAAAAACGATTCCAGCCGAGCATGTCTCTGACCACACTATCCCTTCATTTGCTTAGGACAAAGAAACAGATGAACCCTACTTCACCTGCCCTGTGCCCCGAGAGGTCCTGATAGTCAACCTTATCATTCACATATAGGACTTAAGAAAAAATAATTGAAAACGTAAAAAAAAAAAAAAGTTCTATTAATGTTTATGACACTGACTTTAAAATTTAGCCTTCATTCTCCAAAGCAAATTTTAAAATGCTTTTCTGGCATATCTAGCCCTGGCCACCTATACCATGTTTAAATAATGTGAACACCCGCCATTTTGCTCGTGGTAAACATGGCCTAAAAATGGTCGGAAGTCATGTACGCCATATTGTTGTTAGCAGCCGACCACGCCTCCAAGTTAGTGAGTAATCCTACTATATCTAGATATAGAACCTAGATAACAAAAAAATCCCATGTATTCTCGAATTAGATGATCATTGAAGCTAAACAAAGATTTATATAAAATAATTAAGGCCCGAAATAGATTCTAGATGTAGAATTTACATTAAGTCTAGATCTAGAATTTACATTGAGTCTAGTGACCTAGATCTAGAATCTAGGCCCTAGGCTAGATTCTAGATTCATAACTTTCCTTCGACAGCTGATCTTTAGATCTTGAGAAATTTATTGTAAAACTAAATGAAAAAGACTGTTGAAAAATGATATAATTGTTGGAACGTAATAAATACAGCAAACGGACGTATTGTTTAAGTTATAGCCGGCAGAAAATTAGCTTTGTAACGCGTTAAACGATTGAATGGGCCACAAAGTCTATGATGGAGTCCGCCATTTTTATTTTACCAAAAAGTAAACACATCAAGGGACGTCACTATCCCCACAAAGTTTACTTAATGTTTTAAAATTTAAAAAAAATGTGGTTAATTTAACAATGAATAAATCAATAAATTAATTAACGTCTTTAAATAAATTTGTGATTAACAGTCTGTCTTAAAACAAAAATTTTTCGCTACCTGCATACTATTTTACAGCTTTCCACGATGAGTGCAACCATGCGAGATAGTCAATCAGGCAAACAAACAAACAAACAAAAAAATAAATATTCAAACATGTAAACAAACTTGAGTTTTAGTAGTATATAGATAAGGAAATTGCGCTAAAATTGTCACTAGACTTTTTAATTACCTTATTTGTTTATGGTCAGATTTTGAAAATTCAAACTGGTCTGTAGTCAGATTGATAGCCTCTATCCTAATATGTAACTAATATATTGTTTTACTTTTACTGAAATTAAATTTTTGCTTTGGCTTAGCTAATTAAATGAATAATTAAGTATGCTTTTTTTTAAAATGTACAAATTGGGTTTCTTTTTTGTTTTTAAAATCTCCTTGAATTTTTTTAAACTCCTGGAAAAGTCCTGGAAAACTTCTGGAATTTTATTTGAACTTTTGAGCATGAACCCTGAATTGGCCAAGAGGAGGATTTATGTTTTGAAAGTTACAAAAATGTTTCAAGGTTTTATTAATGTACCTGTTTTTAAAATAATTGTATTAAAACGTTTCAGTAAAAAAAAAAAATCTAGCAATGTTTTCATTAGATGTAAACAAGCTCAATTACTTTGTTAAAAAAACTTAAACCAGATGGCTGCTAAAGTCTTTTGCAGCCATCTTAACTTTCCAAGTCTAAGGACAGAATCTAGGCTTATAGTACTAGGCCTATTTTTTATGGTTAATAGTAGACTGTTTTGAAATTGCCCCAATTAGAGACAGAATTAATGTATTACAGTAGACTGTTTGTCAGTGGTGTATCCAGGGGGAGAGTTTTGGGAATAAAATAAAATGAAAACAAACAAGAAAAGTTAGTGATTAGTAACTAAATTAATGAAAGCGTAATAAAAGTGCTTTTATTGTGTCAGTGTGTGTACTAACTGTTAGTGAACAAAGGGGTCTATCTTGTTAGTCAATGAAGGTGCCTCTCTTGTTAGTCAATGAAGGTGCCTTTCTTGTGGTCGGCATGTGTATTAAACTGTTGGTCACTGAAGTCGTATATTTACGACGACTGAAACATTTACCATATTTTTTATGCCGATAGGTTTGCAATATAGGGCATATTAGGTGATGATTGTCACAAGCATGTGGCAAGTCTGAGTATTCTCAGACCAAGGCAAAGGAGAGATAGAAAAATAATCGTTTTTGTACTCTGTTTGAATTGTAGAGCCGTTAGTAAACCATTTTAAATGCATTGTATATCGTGAGTGGAACTTGAAAATGACTTTCCTTTTAAAAGTGCAATTACACATTTTTCAAACCAGTAACATTGATGTACACTATCTGCTCAAGTATGATGTTTGGAAGTTTGTGTCTAACGTGTCTGCGATAGTTTGCAATAGTTTGACTATTATTGGTCTAAGTTGTCGAAAAAATTTTTTTATCCAATTAATAATAGATTGCCAACTTATTACTCATCTTATCCTGTTTGTGCCCAAGACTGAAGGGACAGATGAAGTAGAGTTCTCTGGTTCGTTTTAAGTTCTCCATATATCGCTGAAGATACTGATATTATAGACTGTGAAAATATTTTGAGGACTGAGAGAGACAGACAGAGAGAGAGAGAAATGTGCACATTGTGCACTTGTCACTCCTCCTACCCGTTAAACCAGCATATGCTACTGCTTGTATGATTAATGCGTCTTTAAATCCTTGCTAATTGAAAAGCAGAAACATTGAGTAGGCCCTATATGATTATGTAGGCCTTGATTTTGATCATCACTGTATTGTTTTAAAAGTGTGTGGTCTAAATAATGTTTCCCCTATTACTTACTCCCATCATAATTTGTTGACATTCTTTATTTGTGCTAATACTGGACAAACAGCCATTTCTTTTAGCTTTGAAATACTTTGTTTGAGATATCTTTATAAGATCAAAGTAAATAAATAATGTTTCTTTTTGTTATTAAACTGCTGTATCTTGATAAAACAGTTTTTGTAAACTTTATTCTTTTTTTATTGGATTTTTAATTTCTTGTTTTTTTTTGTTTTTTTACAGTTATTATAAAAGAAATAATTTCAAAGTTTTCTGGCCAAAAATGAATGAAGAACAGGAGATAAAAGGAAATTCTACAATGGATGAAACTGTAGTAAAACAAGAGCCTAATGAGGGCATTGAGACGAGTGCTTTAAATGAGGAGATAATTTTTTCATCTGATTCAGTAACTTATGAGAAAATTCTTGAGATAAAACAAGAGGTTAAAAATGAGTTATTAGAACTGAAGTACATTAATGATAAATGTGACAATGATTTATCACGGAAAAACCAGCAACATCACATAGGTGCTACAGAGCTTGACAATAAACCAGAAATTTCTGTTCCTGTTTTGAAAAAATTGTTTGACTTAAAATCTGAGATTCAAAATGATGTATTAGAACTCAAGCACATTAACAACAAAATGGTTCATACTTTACCTCCAAAGAGCGAGCCTAATGAGAAGTCATGCTGTTCCGATGATTTACTTAGTGATAGCACCAATAAGGAAAGCTGTGCCACAGAGCAAGGTAAACCAGATAATTTATCCAATAAACCACCTTCCACTGCTGGACCTAATATTATGACCATAAGACTAGTTATTCAAGATCACTCTTTGGGACTGAAGTGTATAAGTAAACAGATGATTGTTAACTCATTATCATCAAAAAATCAGGGAGTTACAGCTATTATGGCACCTCAAAATCAAACTCTTGCAATGAAAAAGTCTTATTTTTGTAATGTGTGTCAAAAGACGTTTACTCAGCAAGTTGGTTTAGAGTACCATAAACTTGGTCACAAAACTGAGGAAAAAATTGCCAAGAAATTGAATGCAAAAAAGGCTAACAATACCAAGAAAAAGGAATTAAAATATGTCATTTCTGAACGTCTATCTCCAGCTTGTTGGGATAAAAAAAAGCTAATTAATGTTGAGAGAAAACAAAAGAGTAAACCAGTGGAGAGTAAAGCATTGGAAAGTGTAAGAGCTGAGAATAAAAAAATAGTTGAGAGTAAAGCATCGGAGAGTAAAGCATCAGAGAGTAAAACAGTGAAGAGTAAAACAGTGAAGAGTAAAACAGTGAAGAGTAAAACAGAAAAAAGAAAAGTACTAAAATGTGACGCATGTCTTGAAACATTTTCTGATGAAAACTTGTTTAAAGATCACAAGTCAGTTCACATAGGAAAAAGAGATTTTAAATGTGATCTATGCTTAAAAACGTTCTTCACTAAGCATGTTTTAAACAGACATAAGCTTTTAGTTCATTCAGGCAAAAAAAGATTTAAGTGTGACATTTGTGGAAGACAATATTATTTTATTTCAGACTTAAAGAAACATATGTTGGTTCATGATGCAAGTAAGAATATAGAATGTGATGTTTGTTCAAAAAAATGTAACAGCATGGTGAATTTACTAAAGCATAAACAGCTACATTCTTTAGACAAGAAGTTTGAGTGTAAAACAGTAAAGAGTAAAACAGTCGTGAGTAAAACAGAAAAAAGTAAAGTACTAAAATGTGACGCATGTCTTGAAATATTTACTGATGAAAACTTGTTTAAAGATCACGAGTCAGTTCACATAGGGAAAAGAGATTTCAAATGTGATCTATGCTTAAAAACATTCTTCACTAAGCATGTTTTAAACAGACATAAGCTTTTAGTTCATTCAGGCAAAAAAAGATTTAAGTGTGACATTTGTGGAAAAAAATATTATTTTATTTCAGACTTAAAGAAACATACGTTGATTCATGATGCAAGTAAGAATATAGAATGTGATGTTTGTTCAAAAAAATGTTACAGCATGGAGAATTTACTAAAGCATAAACAGCTACATACTTTAGACAAGAAGTTTGAGTGTGATGTGTGTCATAAAAAATACAATCAAAAAGCAAACTTAATTGATCATAAAAAATATCATACCTCAGGGGGAATAAAATGTCCAGTATGCTTTAAAACATTTGCAATGCCTAGAGATTTAAAAAAACATGAACTTGTTCATGCAGCTCCTAAAGAGTTTAAATGTGACCTGTGTTGCAGAGAATTCAAGAAATTGTTTTTCTTGAGGCGACACATGCTTGTTCACACAGGGGAGAAGCCATTTAAGTGTCATTTGTGTACCAAAACATATGCTTCACCCTCTGGCTTGTTAGGGCATAAACAAACCCATGAGTCAAAAAAGTATCAATGTGCTCTGTGTAGCAAAAAATTTTCTCATCAGGTTAACTTAAAAGTACATTTACAAATACATTCAGATGTGAAGAATTTTGAGTGTGGTGTGTGTTTTAAACGATTTTCACAAAGACGAGCATTACATTTTCATAAGTTAGTTCATACTCCGGCACAAGAAATTGAATGTGATGTGTGTTTTAAAAAATTTAAACACAAGTATAGTCTTAAAGCACACCTAGAATCTCATGTCACATATAAACAATATGTATGTGATGAGTGCCCCAAAAAATTCAGCTCTAAAGCACGCTTAAATTCCCATAAAAAAAATCATGGTAGAGTGGCAAGACCAAACATTAATTTTAAGTGTGAAATTTGTCAGAAAATGTTTGGCAGTAAACAAGGCTTAGAAAATCATAGCATAAATCATACTAACGATAAGCAAGGCCTAGAGGCATTAGATAAGACTGGGAGTAAAGATGAAGAAAAAGAAGAGTTTGAATGCAATATTTGTCAAATAATATTTCACTCTAGTCACAGTTTAGCTACTCATAAGCATATTCATATTGAGGGTAAGATTTTACAATGTGATGTATGCCTTGAAAAATTTACAGATAAAAATTTGTTAAAAGTCCACAAATTAGTTCACAGAGGTCAAAAACACCTTGAATGTAACTTCTGTTTAAAAAAGTTCTCTAACAAACAAAGTTTAGATATACATAGCCAGGTAAAGCATTTAGGTATAAAAAGATTTGAGTGTGACATGTGCAAAAAGACATATTATTTTAATTGGCAATTAGAAAAGCATAAATTAATTCATAACATTGGTAACAATTTAGAATGTGATGTTTGTTTTAAAAATTGTTACAATTTAGAAATCCTGGCAAAGCATAAAGAAATACACAAGTTGTCATTAGAAAAGAAGTTTGAGTGCAACTTGTGTCACCAAAAATATACAACAAAAAACAGTTTAAAATTGCATAAACTGAATCACACAGAAGGAGAATTAAAATGTACTGCATGTTGCCTAAGTTTTGTCAAGCTAAGAGATTTTAAAAAACATAACTTAATTCATGAACCACCAAGTATAAATAGTATAATTAAATGTGATCTTTGCTGTAAAGAATTTAAGAGTAAGGTAAACTTAAGGCGTCACATGCAAGTCCATACAATAGAGAAGTCATATAATTGTGAATTGTGTACCCATACATATCCTTCACAAATTGGTTTGAATGCACATAAAAAATTACATGTGGAGAGAGAATTATTAAAATGTAACGCATGTCCAGAAACATTTCCTAATATCAGCTTGTTAGAAGCCCACAAGTTTGTTCACATAGGGATAAGAAATTTTGAATGTGATTTGTGTTTTAAAAAATTCTTCACCAAACACATATTAAAAAGACATAAGCTTTTAGTTCATTCAGGCAAAAAAAGATTTACATGTGACATTTGTGGAAAAAAATATTATTTTATTTCAGACTTAAAAAAACATAAATTGGTTCATGATGCAACTAACAATATAGAATGTGATGTTTGTTCAAAAAAATGTTACAGCTTAGAGAACTTAAAAAAACATAAACAGCTACATTCATTAGACAAGAAGTTTGAGTGTGATGTGTGCCATAAAAAATACAATTATAAAGCCAGCCTTTTTGAGCATAAAAAATATCATACATCAGGGGGAATAAAATGTCCAGTATGCTTTAAAACATTTGCAATGCCAAGAGATTTTAAGAAACATGAACTTGTTCATGCAGCACCTAAAGTATTTAAATGTGATCTTTGCTGGAAAGAATTAAGGAGCAAAAAAAACTTAATGCTCCATATGAACAGCCATACAGGAGAGAAGCCATTTAAATGTGAATTGTGTACCAAAGCATATGGTACTTGGACAGGCTTGTATAGTCATAAAAAAAGTCATTCAAAGTCTGAGGAAAAAAATTTACCAGTGTGATCTGTGTTGTAAAAAGACTTATGGGGAAAATAACTTAAAAAGATCTTTACAAACACATTGCAGTTGAAGTTTGGTTTGGGTATGGTGTGTGATTACTTAAATTTTTTTTCACAACTATGTAGTATACTTTGTAAGTAATCTAGTTAATCTGTCAGCTAATAAAAATCACTGAGAAGTGTACTGTTCAGGTTGTCACTTTATATTAGAATTAAATCGACTTCAATTTTTAGAAAGATATTTCCACTTTTTTTTTTATATAACATGCATGATTTTTATTTAATACTATTGTTGTTTTGCTATAGATATAATGATGTTTATTTCAATATATTGGTATGCACATGCATTTTATGTAAATATTTTGATGAATGTAGATCCATGAATTTTGATATGAAATAAACAAAATCGAATTTTTAATGAGGAAATGAATCATTTAAACAATGTAATGTTTTAGATGGTGAATTGAGCTATTCTAACACAAATGCTACTAGCTGCTATTCTATTGGTTTTATAAAGCATTTGACACTGTATTGCATATTCATCATCTTACCCCTTTCTTCCCTAGAACACATGGGGCAGATGAAGTAGAGTTCAATTGTTTTTATTACCTTGGCTTATGAGCTGTAGTGTGGTCAGTACTATGTCCAGCCTCTTTTGTTTCCCTATGATTCCTTTGGATTGTGTTATGCTGATGATAAAAAGGGTTTGTTGATTTCGCATTTGAAACTGGTGTGGATCACTACCCCCAGAAAGATTAAGAACCACCGACCTAACTTACTTCAGGTACCTGTTCATAACTGGTTGGACTCAGGGGGTACTTACAGACTCATGCCTAGTATCCAAACTCAAGACTTTTGGCTTAGCAGTTATAAGCTCTAACATCTGACCAAACCTACCCATTCCATATTTGGATTTGACTTATTTATTTCAAGTAGGCCTACAATATAATTCTATCACCAACATGGTTTCATTATACCCTGTTTAAGCCTACATTTATAATTTATTGGTAGGAAAGTATCGGTTGTTTGTAAAATGTAACTTGTAATTTTCTTGTTACTGGTGGCAATATGGTGTGATACCAGATATTATATCTGTAATGGATAGTTTTACGTTGACACTGGGTGATAGCATGATATAACAATTTCCCCATGTGTATCATGTGTAGTTGCAGCACTTTAAATGGAGAGTTTTACAATGACACAGGGTGAAAACATTATATAACAATTTTCCCATGTTTATCATGTATAGTTGCAGCACTTAAAATAATTTAATGAAGTTGTCGTCATTTATCACACACTCATTGAAATCAATGTTATTGTACGCTTTAAAGATACATATATGTATATATATATGTATATATATATATGTATATATATATATATATATATATGTATATATATATATATGTATATATATATATATATGTATATATATATATGTATATATAAATATGAATGTATATATATATATATATACATATATATATATATATATATATATATATATATATATATATATATATATATATATATATATATATATATATATATGTATATATATGTATATATATGTATATATATATATATATATATATATATATATATATATATATATATATATATATATATAATGATATATGTATATATATTAGCATTTTTTATCCTTATATTGCTTATACAACTTCTAGGACACCCAGCAACATTTTTGCTTTAAATTCTCATAATAGACTTCTAAGAGACCAATTAAAATTCGTCGCTTTTAAATGAAGCCGACTAGCACTTGTTCCCAGCAACGACGTTCTCACGAAGACCCCGAGTTCTCTTGTGGTTCCATCCGCTTGTCCAAGTAATGTTGAAGTAATAAATGGTCCCTCATTTTTTGAGTTAGTTTCATAACAGTGAAGATAGATTTTTCAAATGTTAAAAGGTAAATGACCAATTAATAATTATTTACAACGCCTTGAAATAACGATGTTGGCTACCTCTGTCGAAGCATTATATTACGTACAGATGAACTTTAAAATACCGACGCTAATCTTTTACATAACTATACTTAATGTAGGCCTATAGCTTTACCTAAATCAATACATTTTGATTTGCCCGTGAGATTCTGTTTGTGTACGGGTGATCAAATCTTTTAAGTACTTTATCGTCAGAGCATTCAGTAAACAATCTTTTATTACAAAAGCAAGCATTCTTACGAAATAATGCATCTGTTAAAGGTTTATCTCAAACAGGATTAGTCCACTGACAAAACAGGTATATCATACGGGTATTAGTTAAGTAAGTTATTTTTCTTTCTGAAACCCACATCTAATATGCTCCAGTGTAGATTATTTAACTAATAATATAAATGCACAAAAATACAGATAACCTTTTGTTTAAGTACATATTCACATGTTGCCCGCCGCATTTAATCTTCATTGATGCGATTCGAAAAGTCTTTTGGGGTTTGTTAATCTAGTCATAATATTATTTAATCTTTATTCACAGTATGGCAGTGGCATAGCTACCGTGAAGCTAGCGTAAGCTAGGAATAGGGGCCCAAGGCACATAGGGGCCTTTTTAACTTTTTTAACTCTTTAAAAAATGTAAAAATTTTCATTGGAAATGTAATATATTCGTTTCATGTGGATAATTTTAAAAAGAAAATGGAAATACAAATTCTTTTCTTCTCTAGAAATAATTAAAAGTTCCAAAAAGGCCCCCATTCCTTTCTTATTGTACAAACAGTGGCATTCAGTATGGGGGAGGGGGGGGGGGTCGAATAGGGCCCATCCGTAATAACACAACAGACGTTGTCGCTTTGTCGCAGAAATGTATTCAACCTCCCTATATTGGAGGATGATTAACGTATACTCAATGCTTTAATACGGCACGCCCAATAAGGGCGTATGAGCGGTAGAGTGGTCAAAGCCGCGCCCCAGCAACAAAGATCCGGGGGAAAAAATAGCTGTGGCGTTTTTTACATTCTAACTATCACATTTTTAGCAAACAAGGTCACACGACTAACAATACAAAAATTAGTAACGCGTTGATGAAACCCTTAAAAATTGTTTGGGTATCCTGGTATGTGAAACTAGATTACTAGATAGCAGCAACGCGGACGGGTACGCTAGTTACGTAACTAAATTCTTTACATTCCACGGTGATCGGGAAATAGAACTCGGCCTTGACGATTGTTAAAAAATACAACTATAAGTAACTTTTTTAAATATATAAAAAATTTGACGACAATTTTTGAGCCCCCTTTTTGGTCCCCATCCCGTGCCCCACCCGCCACAGTACACTTTGGAGGATCGGTCAAAGAAGTCATTCAAATTTAAAGAGTTACCTATATTTTACACTGTAGTTGTGTAATGGATTTTATTTTTTGCGGAAGAGCGTGGTTTAGTGACTGTAAAATAAAGATAATCGTACCGCAGCTCCAGTGTTTTTCTTTTACAAACCAAATATCAAGGCAAAAATGCACGAAAATTAAATTCAAAATTTTAAAAATATTAATTTTGGTCAGCCGTGGGCCCCTAAACGGCCTGCCCCCCCCCCACCCGCATTGCGGGGTCTGGCGGCACCGAAGTTCCGCCCCTGGTGGAGGGCCACTCAAAAAAGTTTGTGAACCTGTGGCGTAGAGCAAGTTTAAAATTTAGAAAAAAACTATTTAAGCTAATGCGGTTACATGAGCCGGATTGTGCCGCAGGCCTAGCTAAACAGACCATCGTCAAACAAAGATAAGTAGATTCTATATATTCACATCACCAGTGTGCCGGTGCACCAAATGTGAGAAAACCAAAGTGTCAGTGAACATCATAACAGACATACACAATGTGTGTTGGTATTTTAACAACAGTGTTTGCAACTTTTGTATTTCTCTCATGTGGTAAGTTTAAATATTCTCGTGCCTTTTGTATAGGCATGTTAGATAAATGCAGTTGAATTACCTCTTATTTTATAGTTTAATTTCAATATAAAATGTCCTAATCGGGATTCTTAGGGAGATTAGTTTTGTTTTGTATATCTTGTCAAGAAAAAATATTTACAATATATTACTACCGCACGTTATTTGAATAGGTTAAGATGTAGGCCTACACGCTTGACACATTTTCTCTACATCATACTTGAAATAGCTTTCTAAAGTTTTTGTGTTGTTCTAATCCTAATTGTTTTTAAAGAAGTGATTTTGCTGAATCGCTTTCAGGCCCAAATATTTTTCAAAGAGCCCGATTGGCCTAATCGCCATAGACGTAATGAATAAATACGACGTTTATAATTATATTGATAAAATTTGGCGTGTTCATTATGTTTTCCATTTTATAATTTATTTTAGACAAAAAATTCAAAACATTTATTGAAAATAAAAAATGTGTAATTAAGTGTTGTGTTGTACTAATAGCAATTTTATTTAGCTATGCTTATCTAAAACAGCATAATTATTTTAAAGTCACATAGCATTCAAATCGTAGTGTAAACTATGTGACAAGTTTAATCCTTTCCCTGGCAACATATTTGGTACCCTGTCCCGGCAACTGGGTGGATTACACCCATACACTTTTTATAATGGGAAATACTATTTGTTCTGATTCCCGGCAAATAGGTGGATTACTAATAGTTAATTGTTTTCTTTGTTCATTGTAGGGTGGGTAACAATACTGACACGGTTAAGGTATTCAGGACATAGTTGACATGGGGAACCCAAGACATGTTATTGTCAATCGGAGAGCTATAATATGATACTACAGGTTGATGGGATTCTCAAGCAAGAATTGTTGTGATTTATACTCTTTTCTGGAGCTCTACCTTGCAGTTACAGACAGTACTGTAGTTTAGAGTTACAATAGGTCAATGAGATGTAGTGGTAAGATTGCCTGTGGGAGGACATATATGGTGTTTTGTGCTCTTTTAGGGAGCTCTGGAATGTAGATAGAGACAGTCGAGCAGTTTAGAGTAACTTGAAATTGTAATCAGACATTAACCTAATTAGGAGTAGGAATCCGGACAAAAAGGGCAAAACAACTTAGTACAGTTACTTGAAAGTTGATACTGTGCAATTAATTGATCAAACTGGGAGTAGGGTGGGTGTTCAGCATGGTGTGACACTGAGCGTAATGTGAAATAGAGTCATACACGTTATTGAGAATACAACAGAAACAAGTATTGAACACTTTTGTCTGAACTCAAGTGCTAATGAGAAAGAAATATATTTGCCAGTTTAAGTGTAGCAGGTGAAGATGGACCAACAAGTTTTGAGTCTGAACCATCAGCATCATAGGAAGAAGATGAAGAATGGCAGCCATCACTACTTTAAAATATTGCTGCTCTGATGACGAAGTCTGCCTAGTAGTAGTATACTGCATTTCAACGATTAATATAGTGTTAACAACTGAGACTCATAATGAAATGAAGCTGATGGTGCCAATGGAAGAAAGAGAAATATTTTCACGAAAAACAAAGTAACAGTACACTACACCACTGCTTGAAAAAATTACACATTAAGAGCCTGACTCACTGATAGTATGGTCTCTCTTATTAAAATATTTCTTCTGTAAAAGAATAAAACTAATACAACCAATATATGGCTGCTTTAACAGGGAAGGAGAGAACGCAAGAGGAGACCCTGGCACTCTGCAGAAAAAAACATTTTAGTTGTATATCAATTCAGTTCTGTTCACTGAAATTTTTGAAGACAGCATTTTATAAGAAGATATTAATAATTATTAAGCAACTGTCTAAGTCATATTCACGTTGACAACAATAACACTAAGTCAGTCCATCAGACTCATGGTATATTTGATTTCATTATGGGGGATATTCCTTAGAAATTAACATTCGACTCGTGAAACTTCACTAAAAGTACCCATATTTTGTCAAAGAGAACAAAAGTTCCCTGCCAGCAAAAAGAAATGTCCATTTATTTTAGTTGTATCTAACTGTGCTCTCTGAGGTGTTAATTATTAAAACGTGTTAATGTTCTATTATTTTATTACAAAAGTTGATTACTTGAATCACGTTTGATATTTTGTTACTCAAATACATTCAAATTAAAAATTTATAGTTAAAGTTTGAAAATGGAACACAATGAATAATCAACAATAAGTAAATACAAATATTTAGAAGCCAGTTTATAAGTAATAAATATGTTTTCCATTCAAAATTGCTTACGAGTGTGTTACACACAGTTGCAAGCAGTGTTTCTTCCAGACTTTTTTCTCCGGGGGGGCACTTGAAATTTTCGGGGGGGGGGGGGGGGCGGTAAACTTTCTTCGGGGGGGGGGGGGCGGACACTGTTAAAAGTATATATTTTCTATATAAATTATATAAATTTCATTTCGTTCGGGGGGCGGTAAAAAATTTTCGGGGGGGGGGGGGCCCCGAAGAGATGCCTGGAAGAAACTCTGGTTGCAAGGGATCGTATAAAAAAATTTCAAACCCTGATCACAATTTTTTTACGCATATTATTTAAATTTACAACCTTCAATATGTTCATCCCAACCACCTTATAGATGGAAATGAAGTTGAGAAAAATTAATAAAATGAGACTGGATAACACGCAGTGTGATGACGCAAGGTTGCGTCGAGCTCAGGTAGATAGCAGAAGCAGGCTATATCAAGTTGGTCAGACTAGTCAGAGAGAGAGACCAATAAAAATACGTGAACTGACCGGTCACATGGGACGGTCAGCTGACCACTGAAGCGTGGGCCACTGTTAGACCGGGAGATCATGATTAGCTAGCGAGGGCAGAAGGTGTTAGGTTGTAGAATGGAGCAGACGTAGTTATGTAGAGAACAGTTAGAATGTAGATAGTGGTAGGATTGGTCATGTAAGGGCGTGTTAGTAGAGTTAGTAGTAGTAGTAGTAGATAGTATTTAACAGGCTAGTTAGATAGGAAATTGATTTATAATTTCAATAAAGAACTTTGTATTTGGAATTTGAACTGTGTGTTATTGGATTCATTCATTACGCCTCGTAAAATCCCCACCCTCACAACTGGTGGAGCGCGGGTCGAGGACAGGAAAGACAGTATATCGGGTTACTCATGACGGAGTACATCTGGTGTACAGCTTCCTTTAACTCAACACAACAGCGGGTTTCTTCAACCGGAACGAGTGTGGATTACCAACACAAGGGAAAAGTCAACATGTCCAAAAAGATAAGTACCTTCCAAAAATTTTTTAAACGTTTGGGTTTAGACTCGTGCTGGATATTTGGTACCAGCGGTTTTTCTGCCTCTTTCTTATCTGTTTCTTCAACCACACTACCCTTAAAAATGCCCCAATTGTACGAAGTGGTCCCAAAAACTGAGCCCAAGTCAGGCCTAAAAGAGTCAGGTAGAATTGATGACTCGTTGCTAGATATAAATGTTCAGAATACAGTCAATGTGAAACACAATTCAAGAAGTATTGAGGATCCAGTTGTTCTGGATGAAGTTATTGTTAGGCTTGGACAATACAAGACAACAAAAGATGTGGACTGGTTATTGACTGTTAAAGAGATTGATGTAAGAACTTTTGATAACTCAGATGCTTTGGAAGATTTGATTAATAGACTTGTAGATTACAAGGTAACCAAGGATCCAGACTGCTTGTTAAATGAAGAAGAATATGATGCAAAGAAAGATGCCGAGTTAGCAAAGAAACTTGAAATAATGATCGCCGAAATACTGTTGGCAAGAGCAGAGAAACAAAGAGAAGCAGAAACATATATTGCCGGAATTAAAGAAGAAACAGACAGAATTCGTAAAGAAAGAGAAATAAACCGGGAGTGATCTCCCCTAAACTTTCTCGAATATTCTTATATAAAATAACAGTGGATGGGAACTCGGGCTATAGACATGATTTTTAATCCATTTTAAATACTTGAAGTTTTAAAAATAGAATAAAATCTCGTAGACAAATTAATTGCACACCAAGTGAACGCGAATAAAAAAGCGCATAATAGTGCGCAATATTATTAGTACTTTTAAAATTTACATTAGTTTTTTGAGAAATCGGAAGTAGCGTAAATAAGTACTTTCGGTCAACGAAAAATTCTCAAAATTTGACAGAAGGTAGAGAATTAGATCTTTTACTTACATATCAAATTTCATTTATCTATCTGAAATAGTACTCAAGTTATAGGCTTTTGAAAAATTCAAAGTAGAAAAAGTACCACTTCCGGTTATACGAAATCGCTCAAAAGTTGATACGGATCTACGATTTTGATAAAATACTTGTATATGAAATTTCAGCAACCTAGCTGTAACGGTACTCAAGTTATCGTGTTTACACACGGACACACACACACACACACAGACACACAGACATACGGACAAGATTGCAAAATTATGTTTTTCCGTATCAGTGAGATGTAAAACGTCGAGATTTGCAAAAATCTCGATTTTTTTTTTGCACGATTACAAGACTTTCTCTATACTTCGTATATACGAGAAAGTAAAAATGAGAGAACTTCGCCAAGCCAAACAAGAAACGGTGCAAAGTTTAGATACAAATAATAACAACCAGATAGCCGAAACATTTTACTATTCTTACCACTCAGATTCAGATGACACGTCCAGTGAAGCAAGCGAAATACCTACTACAAAAACTGAAATACCACATACACTCCAAAAACATAATACGGCAAATCACACCATTCAGATTAACTACAGTCAACAAAAACACAATTACAGTGTCAGATGCTACTATTGTGATAGAACAGGCCACAAACAAATAAATTGCAGAATACGATATTATGATAGACGCCAACAAGATGTACAACACAACAGAACACAATATAGACAGATTAATAGAATAGCATTTATATCATCGTTTACAGAAGCCAGTAAAAGAACAAACACATTTACGCCAAAAGTTAATAACAGATACGCCACAGCAATTAGGGAT